GGCCAAACCAAACCAAAGCAGAAATCAATACTCCAAACAAAATTATTTCAGAAAAACATTATTAAAGCTAGAATACCTCATGCAAAATAAACAATAAAACTTTTTAAAGCTAATTGCTATTAAATGTCACAATGAACAATACTCAATACTTTCATCTAGCATTTTAGAGATAAATACAATTTGGGGCTATGATGATTTTCTTGTGTGAATTATGAAGCAGTTCTAGAGGAACATTACCTTGACCTGGAGGGGAGCTATTTTTCTCTGGTTTTCAACTCATGTCCACACCTGTGTTAATGCTATGAGGGAGGCTGGAGCTGAGCAGTTCTGAAGGAAATCCTCATTGTAAAGGCAAGACTTTGTTTCTCACTAGTGGAATAGCTACTCTTACATATGTTGTTGTGGCAGACATATATCTGACAGGGAGGTTAATGTGGAGGTGTGTAACTAGATTACTCCCTTGTGTTGGGTCCTTCACTGCTTAATGTAGGTCCATCTGGCAACTTTGTTCAGAAATGGATCATGGTACAAATGAGGACTCTTGCTGGTGGGCATTCAAGTTCCCCATCCAGAGTTCATTTTATGTCTTGGTTTCCATGAGTGCTTCATGCAAGTAATATGCAAAATAGAATTGTGATCTGTCAACTGAGGAAGACCAATTGGTGATGATCTGCAGTATATACGAATGGAAGCCATTCGGCCTTACCAGTCTAGAGTCAGTGTTGAAAAATCCCACATCTACTTCCACTTACTGTGGTGAACAAGGAGCAACAGTAGGTTGCCTAGCCCTTCAAATATGTTCCAACACTTCACAAAATCACAGCTGATCTAATTGTAACCTTGATTTCACATTCCATCTACCCAACAACCTTTCACCAACTTGCTTACCAAAACTTTGTCCACCCTACCTGAAAAATATTCAAAGGCTCTGCTTCCACCAGCTTTTCAGGAAGAGAGTTCTAAATACTGACTCACTGATAGAAAAAAAAGGCTCCTCTCTATTCTATATGGGCAACTCCTTATTTTTAAACAGTGATTACTTGTTCCAGATTCTCCCATAACAGAAAATGTCCTTTCCACATCTATTCTGCTAAGACCCCTCAGGAATTTGCATGTTTAAAATAAGTCACCTCTTATTCTTTCAAACTCCACCTACACTATCTAAATGTTCCTCATAAGACAGCCTGTCCATTCCAGGTATGAGTCTGGTAAACCTTCTCCGAATTGTTTTCAATGCATTTAAATCCTTCCTTAAATCAGGTGACCAGTACTGAACCTCTGGATGGAGTCCCACCACTGTTTTGTATAACCTCCTGACTTTGTATTTAATTCCCAAATCAAATAAATTATATAATTCTATTTGCTTTCTTAACTATTTGTTGGACCTGTATATAAGTGTTTTGCGATTCATGCACTAGGACACCGAGATTTTTCTACACCTCAGAGCTCTATACTCTCTATTTAGATAAAATGCTTTTTTTTTTAGCCTTTCTGCCAAAATAGACAACTTCCCATTTTCCCACATCTTTGCCCGCTCACTTAATCTATCAATATCTTTACATAACCTCCTTATGTCCTTTTCAGAATGGACTTTCCAACCTGTCTTTATGTTGTTATCAAATTTAGCAATCCTTCCTTCTATTCCTTCATCAAAGTCTTTTTTAAATTCATTCACGGGATGTGGACGTCACTGGCTAGGCCAGCATTTATTGCCCATCCCTAATTGCCCAGACAGTTAAGAGTCAACCACATTGCTGTGGCTCTGGAGGCACACATAGGCCTAAAGGTCATTAGTGAACCAGATCGGTATTTCCCAACAATCAACAAGGGATTCATGGTCATTGTTAGACTTTTTAATTCCAGCTATGTATTGAATTCAAATTCCACCATCTGCCATGGCTAGATTCAACCCCGGGTCCCCAGAACATTACTTGGATCTCTGGATTAACAGTCCAGCGATAATACCACTAGGCTGTTGCCTCACCAAATTATCTAATTGAGGTTCAGCATTGACTTCTGTTGCTCACCACTTGTTATATCTGGCTGACCTGAAAAAGACCAATTTACACCTATTGTCTGGTTTCTGTTAGCCAGCAAATCTTCTATCCATGCTAATATGCCACCAGATACACCACGAGCCTTTATGTTCTGCAATGACCTTTGATGTGGCACTTTATGAAATGCCTTCTGGAAATCTAAGTATGTCTATCCGCTGATTCCCCTTGATCTACAGCATGTTACTTCCTCAAGGTACTCCAACAGATTGATTAAACATGTTTTCTCTTTTACAAAACCATTTTGATTCTGCTTGATTACCATAAACTTATTTAAATGCTCTACTATAACTTCTTTCATAATTGCTTCTGACATTTTCTCTATGATAGATGTTAAGCTAACTGGCCTGCTGTTTCCTGCCTTCAGTCACCCTCTCTTTTGAATAAAGGAGTTATATTTGCTATCTTCCAATCTAATGGGACTGTTCCCAAATCACGGCATCTTTAGAAAAATAAGACCATGACATTCACATTAGCCATTTCTTCTAAGACTTTAAGAATGAACTCCAGCAGTATCTGCTCACTTCTCAGTAATACTTCTGTGGTGATTTCTAGTAATTTTATTGATTTGCTTCCTCCATTCCATTTCCTGATTCATAGCTGCTAATGGGAGACTATGTAGCCTCTGTAGTGAATATTGATGTAAAATACCTGTCCAATTCAGCTACCATCTCCTTAATTTCTATTATCAGTTCTCCAGACTTCCTTACTAGATGCCAGTGCTCACTTTGTTAAGTCTTTTTGATTATAGAACCTTTTATTCACTTTTTCCATATTTCTGGCTAGCTTTCTCTCAGATTCTAACTTTTCCCTCATTACTTTCTGGTCACTGTTTGCTTTTTCAAAAATATTCTATTCAATCTTCTGTCTTTGCATAATTGTATGGTTTTTCTTTAAGCCTGGTACTATCTTTAACATTTCCCGTTGAACCACAGATATTGGGCCTGACCCTTGGAATTTTATTCTCTTGCTGGAATGTGTCAGCTCCACATAAATCAACTCAACTGAAGAATGTCAGCGAGCTTCATGACATTAATCTTTTAAACTGGGAGAGATATTCTTTCCATTCAAAGAGATGAACCGAAATTCCATTAAGTTGGAAAATATATAGTCCAACTGCAATGCATTGGACTGCTGGAATGCCTATGGAAAGCCAATAAAGAAATCTGAACGATTTGGAAAGCTCAGATCAGATAAATTATAGCATTTCGCCAACAAAAGGACTATAAAATATTTGCACTTTCCTCAGCAGTGAAAATAGGTGAACTAATGGGGCACTGGCTTCATACAACCTTAGGCAATAGTGCTGCGAGTTGCAATGAACTCTGGAAATGACATCAAAAATGATTTAGCAGTTGGATGACTGTCAGCTTGAGATGCTTTTTGAATTCTGCAGGTTTATATTTCTCTTGATAAAGATGCATGGGAGATATTTCCATAGGGATAACATTATGCCAGGAACCCTGGAAAATGGCTTAAAGATTGCCTCATAGAAATGTGTTTCCCAGAGTTTCATACACGAGTTCTAAAGGTGTCTGACTTTGACTATAAATCTAAATTGAACAAGCAAAGTATTCTACCGCCTTAGCATTAATTTATAGCAAGGACTGAATCTGGTACCAACTCACACTTTGTGTTAAATTTCATTTGACTGTTCCAACAACCTGTCCATGTCCTCTTAGAAGCTTGCTGCTGTCCTATTTACAATGCTTCCAAGTTGTGTGCCATCTGCAACTTTCCAAATTATATCATGCATTATCAATTCAAGTCAGTCAGGCAAGTCAGTCTACATCAGTGTCAGTCCCCAGACTGGATAAATGGAGAGGGTCAGGGGCAGGAAGGAAATCTGGATGTAAACCACCTGCCAAATCCAAAACAATTATATGAAAGAATGAAGAACTAATGTTGTGCCAACCTTATCCAATGTGGGAAATACCCACTAAAATGAGTGAAGCAAATCGGCAGGTTGTGCTTATACTAAATGAAGGGGAACATGACTATATACTTCCAGCCCATGAAATAGCCAGTTTTCACGACACTCTATATCCTATCCCTTCATCAATTTCTATCCATGCCACTACTGTCCATTTTGCCCATGGGCTTCAATTTTGTTAACAAGTCAGCCACTTAATCTAATTTTATTAGCATTTTGCAAAGTTGAGGTATTTTGCAGTGGAAATTATAAGAAGAATTTTTATGCCCTTAATTGGCCACAGGGGAATGCTAAACTCTGAAGATTTAAACTAACCAAAAAAAAAACAAAATCTGAGAAGACACATGGGACTATAAAAATGTAGCCATGTGACCTCAAAGGTTGTTAATCAAGGGTAAGGGTGAAAGTGCATCAGAAAGGAAAGGCAATCTACTTTCACCTTTCCTCGAGAACAAATTCCGCTTCAAGTTTTGTTAAGCCTTCTCTGCTAAAATAGGGGTGTATTAGAACATAGAACAGTACAGGCCCTTCGGCCCACGATGTTGTGCCGACCTATTATCTTAATATGATCAAACTACTATGCATACCCTACATTATACTATCATCCATGTGCTTATCCAAGAGTTCCTTAAAAGTCTCTAAAAGTATCTGACAATGCAATTCTGTAACTTAGTATGAAAAATATTCCTGCAAATACTGAGCAACACAATGTGATGTCAAGAATAATATCCTCAGAAGAAACAAAACGTACATGTTTTCAATGTGTGTTCTTAGCCACACTTTTATTGTAAGCAGGTTTCAATACTTTATGCAATAATATTATGGAAACCTGAAAACATTGAATTCTGAGCTGCGTATATGTGAATTATTCTTTCATCTCTAGGCTGAAGAATCACTTCACAGCTCAGTGCACCCTTCATTATATGGGAATTCCATCCACGAATCTGAAGTACAGGGTGAATTTGTGGGTGCATACCGCAGATAACACAGAATACTGCAGCTCAATCAAGAACCTGGTTTAATTTCTAAGATTTTATTGTGACTTACAGAATATAATATACATTTACAATATATTTGGAGTCAACTAAGCAGATTCTTATAAAGTAATGGCAAGTCCACTGGCATAGGCATGCAAATTAATTCAACTCTGCACCTGACCACTTGCTCATTCTATTATAAATGCTATCCAGTATGTGAGGATAACAATAACATGGAGAAAAAAAGGACAGATGGGGTCAGGAGTTTTTCCACCACGCCACCTCCCCAACATCACTTCAGAATGTGAGTGTCCAAGATATTAAATGTGCTAAAGTACTTTCGAGTGCGGCACAGATTGGTCAATTCATGACCACTTAGAGGTCTCATTCTGCCTCCACTGTCATTATCGCAGCTCCAGGCAGGACAAATAGAGTTGGCCTACCTGCCAGATTAACTGGTGCGGGCAGGCTACCACTTTGGGATGGGGAAGACTATCCCCTGAATTGCATTAATTTGCGCAAGACTGAAGGACTGGATCTAGGTCAGATGGATGTCTGCTGGGAGCCAACTCGATTCTGATTGCTCTATGGACAAGTTTCTCAATGATGCATATTCTCAGTGGCTCTCCCTTCTGCCTGTTCTTGGGACAATGCCAAAATCCTGCTTTACAAGGAAGTCAAATTTACTTCGCTGAAGTTAATCCGATTTTACCTACCGTAATTAATTAATACTTGACTGTCAATAAAGAATTCACAGGTTTTTATTCAACAGTTTACTTGGGTGCTAAAAACTTGACAAAATGCATTATGTTCTTCCTGTAATTATTTTAGATGGGATATTTCAATTAAGACTGCAAAAAAATGTTGGACTCATACCAGTAAACTCTTTAACAGTTCTTTCTACAAGTTATTAGTGGCCTTCGTTCCTGATAGATTAGGTTAAAATCTGCTGTCTTTAAAATGCCTAAAAAGTAACTTGAATGAAAAATGGAAAAAAACTGTAGGTATTAAAAATCAACACAATGAGAAATCTATCAGAAAGTTACATGGGACACCCTGAGGCAGCTCACTGTTTTCACTCTGAGGGAGGTGCTGGTGAAAGATGATCCTGGGAAAGGTATAGGCTGAAGCTACAAGGGAGGGTGAGCTGGGGAGCCCAGGCTGGCAGTGCCCCAGAGTAATTTTGTGGGAATCCAGCAGCACGACTAAATTTGTAATCAGGGCCCTACATATGTCATTACACCCTGATTATGCATCTTATAAAGAGTTCCCCAGCAGAAATAGGCAGGCTTCTTCAGTCACCAAGTAAGCATGCTCCAGCGAAAACGAAAGCAGGTCAATCATCATGGTTACTGACTTATCAAAGTAGACTCAACACATGAAGCTATTATCACCCTGTAACCACCGATGTGAATGGATTAGAATTGACTAATTTAATGTTGGCAGAAAGTCATATCCTTCAGTCACCAACATTATTAGGAATAAGACACAGTTAGCACAGTTTCAACACCAAGGCACTCCAGTATTTTCAGTTACAGAAAGGTCCACAGATGCAAGATCAAATTCCATGCTCCCATGGTCACAGGCTATCGAATCAGGGATCCAGTGTTTCAGCGACCATACTGTATGCCCTTCGAGCAGTTTCGCCAAAAGGAGTACAAGTTTGCAGAATTCGTTTTCAAGATTTCACTTTTGAATTACCTTCAAAAGAATTGATGAAAAGATGATCATGGGAGGCAGAAGATTGTATGGGTTTCACCTTTCCATGGGTACGGAGAGAATTCTTCCTCAATGTAAACAAGCAGCAGCCTTGCTGTCACTTTCTGTGCAAGTTATAATAGATTACAAATGCAAGGCACAGGAACAACACGTAGCTCTAGTCCATACACAGATTCATAAACAATACTGGATCACATTCAGAAAAAAGATAGTTTTGGAGAAAGAACTCTCTGACAATGTGGGCTTAATGGGGCAAAGAAATTCCTATAGTTACCTACAAAATGCTGGAATTCTAACATGGCAGCACATTTTATGCTATACTCAACCTATAGCAAGAATTCAAATAATAAATAAAGGAACTAGCATAAAGGAATTCTCATTATAGGCAGGAGATATGATTCGACTTGGCAAATCAATGCTTTAGGAATGATGGGTGCAGCTCAACAAATTACAGAGAGGGAGAGAGTGAACAACTGAGGAAAGAAAGGAGACAAAGGCAAGTAGAGAGAGAATCAGGAATTGAAATGTAACAATGGAATGGAGAAGGCAAATTAAACAAAAGTAATGAACAGAAATGATGGTACAGTAAGACCATGAACTAGCTTTCAGTCATGACCAAATATCCATAAAAACACATGTTCATCTCCGTAATTTTTGGGTATGCTCATACATTGTTCATACAGGAAGATATAGACGAAAGTCATCTAACTAAAATACAGTGAGCCAGAGGAGTGGGGAAGGTAGTAACATTTGGGTAAGGTCTGTATTTGATATGGCAGCTAATAGTAAAATTATATATTACACAAATACTTCCAGGTCATAAGTGAAAGCATAGAATGGCCTGTGTAGAAATGAAGCCACATCTAAAGGGTATTAAATTGTATGACTTGGTATGGTCAATGGATTGAAAACTATACAGCTATTTATCTAAGGCAGAAACCAATAGGGAAAGAACACAAACATTAAAGTTCTCTCTGCAGTTTCTCCAGCACACCAGGCTCAGCCTTACTCCCAAGGCATGTGGTCACCATATTAAAACAATATGCAAAATCTATGGAGTTGATATAAGATTGGCCAGAAGAACAGCAAAGATGGGGTACTGGCTGGGTAAAAGTCTATATAAATAACCTTCTGACTTGTATATGCCACTTCATAAAACTTCCATTTATTGCATTAGAGCAGGATGTCAGTCGTCGTATTTTCATCAGTGATGGACTTTCTTTTATTTGTGTTCAGAGAGGGGAGACTGGTAGTTTCTATGCCATTGGTGATCTCCTCATCTCTTTTTCGCTTATACTTCAATGGGTTTTCTCCATCACACAATCTTCCGTCAGGGAGTCCGAGGGTCCGCAGACACACTATAGCCGACGACTGTTCCACCACCTTCTTTGTCTTATCCCTGAGAAAGGAAAAGAAAAACGAGGTTCATTTTACAAACGTATGAATATGGAGCAGGAGTATAACATTCAACCATAATAGCCTCTTCCACCTCTTATCAAGATCATACCAGTCTGGTTGTGCCCTCAAATCATGCATTGTCTCTGTTTCCAACTCTCTCGGAGGCATTATGGTCCAGATCTTTACCACTCACTTGTGTCAGAAAGGTCTTCCTCACATTACTCTCCACCTTTTGCTGAAAACCTTAAAATCTGCATCCTTTGCTCCTTTTATTATCGGTGAACAAACGTAGCTTTTTCTAGTCTACCTTATCTAATTCTATCATAATCTTGTACACCTCTATCAAATGTACCCTCAATCTCATGTACTGTAAGATAACAACTCAAGCTTTTCCAACCAAACCCTGTAACTAAAATCCCTCATTCCTGAAAGCATTTTGGTAAATCTCCTCTGTAACTTCCCAAAGATCCTCACATTCTTCTGAAAGTGTGGTGACCAGGCCAAGAGAAAACACACAATTTGGGGCCTAACCACAGCATTATAAAGATTCACGATAATTTCCCTGCCTTTGTACTCAATGACTTTATGTACGTCACCCAAGATTCCATATACTTTGCTAACAACTCTCTCAACATGTTCTGCCACCTTTAAAAGCCTATGCACACCCAAAATTTCTCTGCTCCTGAACATTCTTTAGATCTTATTCTTCTGCCAAAATGCACAATCACACTTCTCTGTGTTAAGTTCCATTTGACACTGGCCTGTCTATTCTGCTAGCTCACCTGTATTCTACTGCAGTCAATTGGTTTTATTCTCACTGCTCGTCACTCTCTAAGTTCAGTATCATTGGCATGTTTTGAAATTTTACTCTGTTCCAATATCCAAGGCATTTATACATATCGAACAAAGTAGTGGGCCTGGCATTGATCTTTGGGATATATCACTGTTTACCGCTTTCCAATCTGAAAGCTATCAGTGACTACGGATTAGTTTAATTTTGTTAAGTCTTTTTCTCCAAGTTGACAATGATCCTCCTCTTTTTCAACTCGCCTTTTAAATGTTTTGGCAAACGCTTTCTTAAAATCCATGTAGACAACAGCCACTGCATTCCCTTCATGAACCTTTGGTGTTTCTTTGCAAAGAACATTCAATTAAATTGTTACAATGGATTGCTTTATCTGATAAAAAAATCATTATTCCTTGACATTGCCAGCATTTATACAAAGAATTACTGAGTGTATAATGCAATAGCTCCAACAAAAACTTGAAGTTGAATGGAAATGCGATCCTAACTAAATGTTATTTTAAACAAGCTGCATAAATGCTGCAGTGTACAAATGTGCTTCAGCAATCAAGCAAGGAACGAACACATTCCACAGATATTCAATATGTGAATGATTATCATTTCAGCATATGGACCCAATAAAAATTAACCCTCAATCAAATAGATTACAGAACTGCTAGACTCAAACCACAAAGGGCAAATTAATTTAATAAGGTCATATTTTTTTCAAAGCAAAACAACTCTTCAGCAATTAATTCATAAATAAATACATAAAGGAATCATGCCAAATTTTCAAAATTCAGGCAAACTTCTGAATATTCCAGATCAGGAACCGAGTGCATGTCAAGTCAGAACTTGGGAGAATAATTGAATTTTTGTTTTGAGTTTTTTTTTTATGATGTTAATCATTTGCTTGGAGCTCAGTTTTTGCAGCTACCCGACTATAAATAGTTGCAGTTTACCCTTGTACATTGTGCCAGGCAAGAAAGGCTAAGGGAACATGCCAATATTAGCGAACATGCAGCGTCTTGTTAAAATGAACTTCGGTTAACTTCCAGATTATTAACTGGCTGGACAGAGCTAGGATCAAATAAAATTTCACTTGCTCACACAGCTGGAAAACAAACCCATTAAACTTTCTAAAATTGTGCTGGCTCCCTTTTAGTCCCATTCTTCAGTTTAGTTCCTTGAATCATTGTGCAGTGTTGCTCAGCTTGAGGGTTGGTGGGGGGGGCACCCAAGTTCTTCGGCCATTGCTGTTCTGTACCTGACTGTTGCTGCGAAATGTCCACCGCACCATTCTATGCAGCGGGGATGCACCAAAAGCCCAAGCTGACAGCAGGCTTTCACATAGCTGACTGCTATTGGTGCTGGGCCGCTCCATGCCGCTCCATGACACTGCACGGTGATAGATAAACCCAATCGCAAATATTCGGACAGAGCTGTCATGTCACTAAAATACTCAAGATTTGGTCCAAGTATTTATAGGTCTGCGAGGAAAGAAACTCTCAACAATTAAGTTCTGTTACTTTTATAAATAATATCATATTTAAAACTCTGGGCTACAGAGCTTGCCATTTTCTGAAAGCAAGTGAAGATATTAAACAGAATATCTATAGAATCACAGCACAAGAACAGGCCATTTGACCTGTCAGGTCTCCACAGGAGTACTGAGGACTACTATTGCTGCCTTTGTATCACAAGTGCTGAATCTGAATCCCATTCCACAGTCCCAACGATTGGAGCCCGAAACTCTGGCTCGATGTTCACGATTGACGTTCAGAAAGATGTTCACGGCTGGTGGGCGTGGGAAACCTACATCTTAAAGTACAGAATGAGGGAACCTAGAAATACTAAATGTAAAGGACTAACTGTTCTTGGAGTGCGAGTGTCACTGGCAAAATCAACATCATGTAGGTGACGGGGAGCCACCAGCTGAAGGCATTCAGTCTATATATTGCAGAGACACGTAGATTGGCCCCTACCACTGAAACTGTCCTTTAGTCAAAGTTAACAAATATATCGCTGAATGTTGATCCAGAATGAAGACCCAGACTGTGGTCATGGTGCATTATCCTCCTCAGAAAGCCAATGGCCTAGTGGTATTATCACGATTGAGATTACTATCAACATGGGCTTTATTAGACTCTTTTAACCAGATTTTTATTTAATTAAAATTCCACAATCTGCTGTGGTGGGATTCAAACCCAGTCTCCCTACATGTGACTCCAGACCCACAGCAATGTGTTTGACTCTTAACTGGCTTCCATATTGGCATACCAAGTTGTTTCCAAGGGCAACTAGAGATAGGCAATGAATGTTGGCCTACACAGCGATGCCCGAATCTGGTGACTGAATTAAAACAAAAAAAATCTGTTTGCTGCTTTCTTCACACTGGTCACACTATCCTTCCCCAACACCCAACTCATGGCAACTAATGCTTGCATGTTCATTTTAGGGAGCACTCAAAGAGCTGCCTTTGTTCCTCTCTCTTCCTCTCTGCATCCTGGTCCTTGCACCATGAGCAAACTTGCACAGGCAGGCCGTGAAATATGACCCTGAGAAATGGAGCAAGCCAAAGTTTAGATCAAACTATCCATTCATTTGTTTTGATAATATCTGTTTGAAAAGAGTGAAATAGTTAATACATACTTCCCTAAGGCAAAGCAGTGAGGCCTTTAACTGCACATATTGGGACAGTCGGTTCCTTGGCAGTTACAGCTTTCAATTTGCTCATCATTTGATTCTGTAGCTTTCAAGTCAAAATTCCTATGCTCCGATATTTCAGACAGAATTTATTGTCTGACATGGCAGGAATGATAGCCCCCTACTGTTCAACATCATGAGATGCTTTGCCAAAATATCTGAACCAAGGGCTTTCTAATTTTTTAAAGTCTGCTGCTTGAATGAAATCTGCTGGAAAGCAGAAGTTTCTCGAATTGCTCCAGCGCAATCATACAAAATCTGGAAGTGAAAATGAGTTGAGAGATTTTAGAAGCCTACATTTTTCCTCACATATTTGCAATTTAAGTGGATAGTTTAATCTTTTAAAAAGACTACTAACATGGCGGATGGACTGTTACAAACATTTGTTCTTCGATTCTGTGAGAGTAATGTACTTCATAAAACTGTTTTCTTCCCTTCCCCCACTGTCGTTATGCAACATTACAGCCAAAGCAAACAACCTGCTCCAAGGAATAAGTCAGTGCTATTCTGAACTGATTGGCAGGATGTGTGAGAGACTAGGACATCAGTGATTTGGTCTCTGACATTTCTGTGGGAAAGCACCTGGCCTCTGGCCATCCCATCCTTTCCTTCCCACAAGCTTTTATTCCAAAAGGGCAAGGGTGCTAGATGTTGACTGTTCCCTTTCGAAGGAGCCATTGGTGAAGTAAAGGCCTAGATAGGGAGTGGCAGCATGCAATCTGACCTCAAATGGGGCAGCAGGATAACCCTTATTCTGGGTTGATGAGTCCTCACTGGTCAGCATACAAAAAAAAAACAGTTCCACAAGGATAGAATCTTTCATCATTCTGCTCCAGAACAACAAAGCCAACCAGAGCATCCCTAACTTAACACAGTCTATGTCCATGCACAGGAAAACTGTCTGTACAGCCAGGCTACAAAACGTCACACCAATGTATCACTGGGGGTGGGGTGGGGTGTGTGTGTGTGTGTGTGTGTGTGTGTGTGTGTGTGTGTGTGTGTGCCCTCCCGGGGGTGATGCAGCTAAAACCCCCAATCAACCAGTTCCCATCATCTAAGAAGCATCCCCAACAAATTCCCATCTGTTCACATTCTGAGTTCTACAATTACAATTATTTGTGATTACAGAAAGCCCACACTGAATAAGTTCGAAGTGTAGGAATGACTCTGAGTAGCTGTAGAAGGGAAATCTCCCAAGTTACAGAGGGACCAAGGGGACAGATGGAAAATAGAAGTTCATCTGTTGTTTTGTACCGTGCTGCCGAGCAAAATCATGATGTTAATTTCCCGAATTTGTTCCATCAGTAGAAAAGACATCCACTCAGAACTGGATAAACAGCTTGTGCATTAAGTTTACTATTGGCCACTCACTTCTGCAACTGTAGAATAAATATAGCTCAGATCAATAAAACAAAAAGCTCCATCTGCTGGCAGTAAGAGTTCGAGACAAAGTCAGTGTTTTTTAATATGATATATAACAATGTTGGCAAGGTTGGCATTTGTAACCGTTCCTTATGCTCTGGAGAAGGTGGTGATAAATAGGTTCTTGAACTACTGCAATCCACGTGATGTAGGTGCACCATCATGTATAAGGAAATTCCAGGATTTTGACTTGGCTAGAGTGAAGGAACAGCAATATAATTCCAAGTCTGGATGGTGAGTGAATGAAGACAGCCAATTTGCAGGTGTTGGTGTTGCCATATGTATACACCCCTTGTCCTTTAAGGTGGTACATGTAGAGGGTTTGGAATGTTCTGTTGAAGGAATCTTGTTCAGTTGTTGAAGTAAATGTGTCTACATTATTCAATCCTGCATTGTGCACAGTGTATTGAGGGAGTGTATGTTTAAGATGTTGGATGGAGCACCGATCAAGTGCACTGCTTTGTGCTGAACTTCTGAAGTGCTTTAGGAACTGCACGCATTGAGGCAAATGGAGAGTATGCAGCTAAAGTTCTGACTGGTAGTTGGTGGACAGATTTTGAGGAGTCAGGAGATGAGTTACTCACTGCAGAATCCTAGCTTCTGATCTGCCCCTTTCACGACCACATTTACATGGCTGGTGCAATGAAATTTCTGGTCATGCCCAGAATGTTGATAGTGGGGAGTTCAGTGCTGTTAATGACATTGAATATCAAAGGAACATGGACTATTCGCTTCTGTTTGTTATGACCAGGTGAGGTGGAGTGAATTGGCTTCTCTCTTTCCAATCTCTCCAGCTGGGCTGCACTAAAGATTTTAAGTTCTTTTTAGCACATGGCTTTACATTTCTCCAATTAAAGTGCCCCTAACTGTTTCCTGTAAGCAACAGCCATTACAACATTTCCTTGAGTGAAAGAAACAGCAATTTTATTACCTGCTAACCCAGAGTAAAAGAATAAAGACACAACATCAAGCATGTGGACTTCAGGCAATCACATCAGCCATCTCTCTCTCACATACACACACTTACAAAGTTAAAAGCAAGATAAAACAAAAATACAGTTCTTAGTGAAAACAAAAAGTGCTGGAAATCACAGCGGGTCAGGCAGCATCCGTGGAAAGAGAGCAAGCTAACTTTTTGAGTCTAGATGACTCTTCAGAGTTCTGATGAAGAGTCTGTGATTTCCAGCATTTTTTGTTTTCAGTGCAGATTCCAACATCTGCAGTAATTTGCTCCTATATAGTTTTTAGTGCTTGGTTGTCCTCAAGGCAAGATGTTTTAGCTCAAAACCATGGTTGGTTAGCTGGCTTCTTGGATCATCAGCTGGAGCAAAAGTGGCAGTTGCTTTGAAAGGTTGTAGCTCCTTGGTGCTTCTTCTATGCTGTTTACATTGACAATCAGGTGGATTTCTTCATAAGGAATAAAAACAAAGGTTTCTCTAACCCGCTTCTGTTCTCTAGCTTAAAATCCATCTCTCCTGTTCTGCCAAAGAAGCTCTTTGAAATAGCAACTGGTTGTACATATCCTGTCTGCTCAGGTATTGTTTGGGGGCTTAACAATTGAATGGATGTTTCCATTTCCAATATGTGAAGATTTGCATTAGGACAGAAAATGAGGTTTCTTGACTAGTTTCATTGCCTTTCGTTAAAATGTTAATTTCAGTTAAACGTGGCCAACATGGACTAACCTGTGGCCATTTTAAGTTAGTATTTTCAGTCCCCTTTTAAAGCCATTCCAATGCTTCAATGGAAACCAGGTATTAAACTGGATAATGGAATTCAAAGCTCAATAGCCCATATTTTATATCGTTGTGACACGATGTAGATGATTACTGCCTCAGGTACTTGTAGGGCAAAATAACTGGCTGATGGTGGGAAAGATAATCATATTGGTAGAGTAAGACTTTACTGCAGGGCTTGACTTTAGTATCAGGCTGTGCTATTCCTGCTGGGTTTACTTAATGTCAACATGACTGAAAATGAGGACAGTTCCATTCCCTCACCTTGACGAGCAAAAAAAAAAATATTCTTTGTATCTGAACATGGTGGGCTGAACAAGTTTAAAGACCAAACGTGGTCCATTTACTCTGCCAAATGAGATTTTATTTATGACTGAAATTAAGCAACAAGCAGTGGAAGACAAATTTATTGCAAGTGAAATCTCACACACCCTATCAAACAGCTCAGTAACAATAATTTCTTCCAGGTTCTGAATACTGCCCATTAGCAACAGAAAACCATCAAAAGGGTGCTGCATTGTATGAAACATAGCTGCTAAGTATCCAAGGTGAAGAGAATATAAGGAGGCTGCAGGAACTTAAGCAACTGCTTTCAGGAAATTGCCAGGAAAATAGGAGGATCTAAGTTGGTCTGAGTGAATGAATTGATCTGGTTAAAATCCAACAGCTAATCTACCCCATTGAAGAAGGAATTGACCCATTTTATGTACATCTAATAATTGCAATAGCTTCTAGAAATTTTGATATTTGCTGCTGGGCGGAAATGTTGGAACTTTCTGCTTAACAACATTTTGGTGTCCTTAGCAGCTCACTGTCTTCCCCGGGGCAACAGAGGATGGACAATAAACGCTGGCCCAGCCAGCAACACCCCTCTGGAATTAAGAGTCTAATGATCACCATGAATTCATTGTCGATTGTTGGAAAAACCTGCCTGGTTCACTAATGCCCTTTAGGGAAGGAAACTGCCATCCTTACCTGGTCTGGCCTACACGTGACTCCAGACCCACAGCAATGTGGTTGACTCTTAACTGCCCTCTGGGCAATTAGGGATGGACAATAAATGCTGCCTGACCAGCGACGCCACCTTCATCCCATGAATGATGAAAAATAACCCTCTTCAGGAACAAATAAAAAAAATTTACATTCCTGGTAGATTATAAAACTGAGCAATGTAAACTCATGAAATGAATATTCTCACTTCATTTGTAGTTTTTATTCTAACTAGCTAATCTTTTGCACAATTTTCTTTACTGGTTCAAGCGTCTGTAAAATTTTGCTTTTGGACTAAAAATCCACAAAATGGTATCTCCACAGGCGGGGTGTTTAGATAAGGTTACTTTTAGTTGAAATTCAGTGCTCAACAGCAAAATGAAAACACAAGCATAGCTTAGTGCACACCAAATCCATGCTAACAGTCTATATAATAATTACTATTTCACTAATTGAACCAAAAATGTTACCATTGGCAGTTGAAAGTATCTATGGGATATCTGACATCGACTTGATTTTGGAACCAGATGTAGGATTTAGAGAGAGGCAGAAAATCCAACTCCCCATCACTTACCAACAGGAGCTGCTGTAGTTTTTGTCTGCTACAGTCACAACTGAATTAAATAATCTGTCTGAAGGTCTCTGTACCTGGTTCAGAACAAAACATGCAGTTACAATAATCTGTCTGAAGGTCTCTGTACCTGGTTCAGAACAAAACATGCAGTTACAATAATCTGTCTGAAGGTGTTTGGACCTAGTACAGAACGTCCAGTAAAATAATCTCTCTGTAAGCCTTTGTTTCTTGTACAGAAAATATTCAATTAAACAAACAAACTGCTGTAAACACTCTGCAGGTTTGGGTGGAACCTGTGGGGACAGGTACAGACTTAACGTTTCAGGTCAATGACCTTTCATCAGAACTGGCAGAAGTCAGACATTTTACAGTTTTTAACTGAGCATCGAGTCTGGGAAACCAAGGAGAGGTAAAATAGCTTTAACTTCTCTCTGTTCTGATAAAATGCTCTCGAACTGAAAGATGGACTTGGTTTCTCTGTCCACAGATGCTGGCTGAGCGCTGCTTGCACATGCTGTCTCTGTTTCAGATTTCGAGCATACACAGGACTTTGATTAAAGATGCTGACTTGGGTGCTTCGTTGTGTGCTGGATACCATCTTGTCAGCAAGTCACCTGTGTTAGAACAGCACTTAAAAGGCAATGTCTGTCCTGTTATCTTGGTGCAAAATAAAAGAACATCCCAGGTTTCTATGGCCCAAGTGGTTGCTCCATTGCAAAATGTGCGACTTGCTTGTTATCACATTAAAAACTATCTCAAAACTTCTAAGTTATGTATGCAATAAATATAGATAACAGTGTGGAGCTGGAGGAGCACAGAAGGCCAGGCAGCATCAGAGGAGCAGAAAAGCTGACATTTCGGGTTGGGACCCTTCTTCAGAAATGGGGGAGGATTAGGGGTCTCTGAAATAAATAGGAAGAGGAGGGGTGGGGCTGGGGAAAGTAGATGGGGTGGTGATAGTGAGCGCAGGTAGGCAATGGTGGGGGTTGGTCAGCGAGGTGGGAGGAGCTGATAGGTGGGCGAGAAGACGGACAGGTCAAGGAGGCGGGCATGAGATTGGGGACTGATCTTGGGATGAGGTCGGGGGTGGGGAGATTTTGAAGCTAGTAAAGTCCACATTGAGACCATTGGGTTGTAGGCTCCCAAGGCGGAATATGAGGTGCTGCTCCTCCAGTTTCCGGGTGGTGTCGTATGTTGTTGCTTTAGTCCCAAATGTTCTTCTTCTAGGTCAGTCGGTACATGTGAATGGTAGTGAACAAATAAACAATTCACAGGAGGTACAAACTCCACAAATATCCCCATCCATAATGATGGGGCTGCTCAGCACACCAATGCAGAAAGCCAACCTGAAGCATCTGAATCCACCTTCGGCCAGAACTGCCAAGTGCATGATACATCTCGGTATCATCCTGAGGTACACAGAACTGTAAGTGCCAGTCTGCAACCAATTTTATCCACGTGACATTGAGAAATGGCTGAAGAAACTGGATACCACAAAGGTATGGGCCTCAACAACATTCCAGCAACAGTCGTGAAAACTTGTGCTCCCAAACTGGCTGTACCTCTAGTCAAGCTGTTCCAGTACAGCTATAACACTGGTGTTTAATTGAATGTGGAAAATTGACCAGGTACACCCTGTGCACAAAAAGCAGGACAAATCCAACATGGCTAATTACTGCCCCGTCTGTTTACTCTCCATCATCAGCAAAGTGATGGAAGGGATCATCAAGCAACACTAGCAAAGGAATAACCTAATCATTGACACACCATTTGGGTTTTGCCAGGGCAACCTGGTCCCGACCTCATTACAGACTTGATCCAAACATGGACAAAACAGATGAACTCCAGAGGTCAGATGACAGTGACTGCCAATGAAATCAAGGCAGTACTTGACTGAGTATGGTGCCCAGGAGCTCTAGCAAAATTGGAATCAATGGGAATCAAAGGAAATCTCAGGGCTGGCTGGAGTCTTATCTGGCTTGGAGGAGGATGGTTATGGCTGTTGGAGGTTAGTCATCTGAGGTCTAGGCCATTTCTACAGGAATCCCTCAGGGCAGTGGACTATGCCCAACTATCCTCAGCTGCTTCAATGACCTTCCCTCCATCATGAGGTTAGAAATTGCGATGTTCGCCAATGATTGTGCAATGTTCAGCACCATTCGCAACTCCTCAGATACTGAGGCAGTCCATGTCCATATGCAGCAAGACCTGGACAATATTCAGGCTCAGGCTGATAAATGACAAGTAACAATCTTGCCACACAAGTGCCAGGCAATGACCATCCCCTCTGAGCAAAGTTAACCATGGTTCATTGATCTTCAATGGCATGACCATCACTGAATCCCCCACGGTCAGCGTCCTTGTGAGTTGGGAGGGTAGGCAGGCGCAACTCAGGTGTACCGTGATGGAATACTCTCCACGTGCCTGGATGAGTGCAGCACCAACAATACTGAAGAAGCCAGACATATTCAGGACAGGGTAGCCCACTTGCTTGGCACCACATCCACCATATGCTCCAATCATTCTCTTACAGGTCCACTCACAAAGGCAGTAGCACATACTATCTACAAGATGTCCTGCAAAAACTGAACCAAGGTTCATCCAGCAGCACCTTCCAAACCTGTGAGCTCTGTCACGTAGAAGAAAAAGTGCAGCAGATGCCTAGGAACACCATCTACAAGTCCCTCCCTAGCCACTGACCTGATTTGAAAACATATTGCTGTCCCTTCAGTGTTGCTAGGCCAATCCCTAACAGCACTATCGGTGTCCCTACAAACCAAGGACTGCAGCAGATCAAGACGACAGCTCACCAACCCCTTCTCCAGCACAATTAGTGATGGGTAATAAGTAGAGAAATAATTATTTTACAGCTTTTGAGATGTGATCAGTTGATTTTTAAAGAAACGTACATGTTAAGAATTCAATTTCTATAAAGGAAAGAAGCTGTTCATCCTCTATCTGCTGCAGAATGACCTTTACTTTTCAGTTCTGTTTAATTGGATTTAAAGATACAACTCTAACATTCAAACAAAGTTCCTAGACATGATTTTTAAGTAGCATTATTAGCGTACTAATGGAGAGTTCAGTTAAAAACATGCTTGGCTGTGTGAAAATGTGTATGACAGTATAAAGTAATGGTTGACACTTACTGTGACATAGACTGGTTGGGGAAGTTTCTGTTTCCGACACCATTCTAGTAGTATCATTTTGGGTGTGATTTGAGGTGGGTATTCACGCCTGGAGAAGGAACACAAGTAGCATAAATTAGTGACCTGAAATGTGAATGGTACAAAATGACTTTATATTGACCTTATCTCAAACTGCTGAGAGACAAAAAAAAGTAAATAGTTTTAATAAAACACTTGTTGAACAGATTATTCCTTCGACATTGACTTAGTTTTGGAGCAGAGTTTAAAGAAAGGATATCTGGCGGAGGACTCAGGATGCTGGATTACAGCTGCTTTGCAGTTACCTGCTCAGTCAGCATGCTCACATTCTTTGGCAAATCATTGTGGCTGCAGGTCTCATTAAATGGTCTTTAAATCTGCCAACGGGCTCCTGTGGCCAGTTGGAAAACATGGGAGTATGATGGAAAAATGGTTAGTGGATGACTGCCACCGGCAGCAACTCTTTCCACATTCCATCAGCCATTTTTCTTTACTTGTTTTGTTTACAGGTTCACTCAAGCTTTTCCTTCCCAGAACACACTTTGCAATTCCTGACTCAATTCATTCTGTACTCTAGCCATGACCGGTGTGCAATAAGACAGAATGTGTACAGCAGGCTGTGGAAGGGATTCTACACTGCACAGACAGGGAAGAGCTTTCCCCAACATGTATGTGTGTATGCGCATGCACATGTATGCATGTGCAAGTGCACGTGTTTGCGTGTATGCGTGCACGCATGCCTGGGAAGGTGGGGGGGGAGAATGAGAGACAGAGACAGAGACAGAGAGAGAGAGAGAGAGAGTGAGTGTGTGTGTGAGAGAGAGAGAGAGTGAGTGAGCGCGTATGAGAGAGTCAGAGAGACAGAATGTGTGTGTGTGCACGTGTGTGTGAGAGAGAGTGAGAGTGTGTGAGAGTGTGTGTATGTGAGAGAGAGAGAGTGAGAGTGTGAGAGAGTGAGAGTGTGAGAGAGTGAGAGTG